AAAAATTCGGGGGATGTTCGTTAAAGGAGGGGCTTTGTGATTGGACGGGCAGTTTGCGGAGCTAATGATTGCGCTGAGCTTTCCGCAGGGGCGACGCGTTTGTTTGAATCACTGCCCTCTGCAAGCTGTTTCCATATGGCTCACGCTCTCAAGGCGGACGCCGTTTTACAGAGGCGCCGCCTGAGCTGCAGGTGTGAAGGGGAAAAAATAAACATGAAAAGTGGCTAAAAGATAAAAAAAAATGACAAAAAAAACCTAAGCTTTATTGTGAATGTGAACTTGTCACAATGAGGAAATCTTTGCTAAGTGCTCATTCCACATCCTAGTTCATTCTGGAAAACTGTTGGAACAAAAACAAACACGTTAAGATGTTAACATGGGACGTACTGTTGAACCGCCATCGTACGTGCTGGTGGCCGATGGTGAACATGAGGTGGAACTTGCTAAACAGGGTCGCTTTATTACACATGTTTGAATGCCATAACCACCTCATCCTTCATCCTCTCTTCGACTGTTAACAAATTCAATAAATGCAGCTTATTTGTGCTTGCAGACTTTAAACAAACATATAAATATATTTGTATTTATATATGAATATAAATCTATATGGGTACCAATAATATGAAATATTAATAATTTGTTTTACCATGAATAAGCTGTAGCTTATTAGCCTAACATTTTGACTGCTATTGATCGCTTTAATTCTTGACTGTTATGTGTATTTTTTTATTGATTTTACATAAATACAGAACTATAGCTATTTAATAACAGAAGTTAAGTGTTTCGGGGGAAGGGGAAGACCTATATTATGCAGGACTCGCTCAGCCAGCTGCCTCTCCATTTTATTTATTTATTTATTTATTTTCAAGAGAAGTGGTTTCATTTTATTGGATTCATCCTGAACGAGAGAGATTCATGCACATTAAATATCTCCACGTGGTGATGAGTGACATGCATTTTCATCATGCCTTCGTATGTGCGAGGGTTTCCGATACGCGTCTGCCAGCATGCATTTTTAACGACAGTTACCAGTGGCCATACAAAAGATGACACATAAATATACCTCATGAACTTTCATCCACATCAGAGCGCACTGTTTTCGGGATGGGGGGGGGGTACATAGAGCGTAAGAACAATGCCTTACACTACGTTTGAATGTATCGGCATTTATCTGTGAAAGTGATGGCTTAGCGCACAGAAACCAGAGGCAGCTTCAAACAAAACCTGAAATAGAGCCAACCGATCAACCAATCATCACACATCCGAAAACAGTGGCTAACTCATTGGATACGGAGAGCGTTTTAGTGG